CTAACTTTTCATTCCCAGTTACATTACAGGTAAGTAGGATAGTTATATGATCCTTTGATTGTTTAGTTCTAGATTCTTGGCCATTTGATATTGTGCAACTGAGTTTTATCTTTTAAAATAAACCCATTTCATCACAATAAAGATGTCGTTAGGATCATAATTCTTAAAAATACTACGAATTTCATTATACATTATATTGAGATTATCAAGTAGTATACTTGCAGCTTTATTATATATATTATATTACTGTAAGTTATGCTGTTTCTTGAAATTGTCTACCCATCAATTGGAACCTTTAAATTTATCTTTACTAAACAAAAAAAGCAAACCTTAAAACTTTTATTAAAAGAATACTATAAGTTATAATGAGACCAGCTTGAAGCACATTTTCTACCCAAAGAGTTAAAGCTTTCTTAATAAAAGGAAAGATTGTCTTTTTTTTATGTTTCAATCCAGCTTTATATGATTCAGGGTCTACAGTAAGACAATGGTTCTTTTCTTTTAAAATGTTACTAACCATACACTCACTAACTTCATATTCGTTTACTAGGTCTTTTTTTTAGTAATGAGAATGAAGTTTTTTTTAAACAAATCTCTTTTTTTTATACAGCAGTAAGAGACTTTCTTTTTTTTAAAGATTCATTACTATAACTTACTTTCAGCATTCTTATGTTAAAGAAATATAAAAAAAATTGCAATACATTATACGAAGCACTTTCGTTAACTTTATTAAGATACAAAAAATTATAAAATTTCATGATCTTTTCTATTAAAATTAGTTTTTGTAAATCTTCATTATAAATAAATGTATTATACAAATAGGCATTTATATAATGCATGTTCACATACTTAAATTCGTTAAATATAATACAAATTTAGTTTAATAAATTCAGTATAAAATGGTTTTTTCTATATTTACCACACTGTAGATCTATTATATTGTGAAATTCGTTATATCAAAATTCGCTATAGAAAGAGTTGATTGTAATATTGAACTATGAAATATTGATTTTATCTTGAAAATTATGATTGTATAATTTCTGTGTATTATATTTTAGGCTAATTCATACTAGTGAACTATAAGATTTCAACTAAACGAAATGCAAAAAAATATTTGGCCATCAATATGATTAATAGAAAATACCAAATATGATTATTTATTCATAATATTTCATTCCAAATTTTCATTTTTTAAATTTCTTGACAATAAAGCTATTCTGAATTGCCATTTTATTTATTGATGAAAATCCATTTATTTTGTTTTAAATTGTCATTTTTGATAATAAAACTATTTATTTTATTTCAAATTGTTATTTTCTAAGTTTATTGATGATAAAACTGTTTTGAATTGCTATTTTGTTTATTGACGATAAACTATTCAGAATTGTCATTTAAATTACCATTTTGACTTAGGATAATTTGACATAAAATAATCATTTGAATTATCAAATAGATTGTCTAATTTCTTATTTATACAAATTAATAATAAATAAGATTGCTGATTTTGATGATTATTGAATTTATTCTGAATTACCAATGAATAGCAAATGTTGGTTTTTTGATTTCAACCAGATAAGAATAATATAAAAATCATTCTAAAGGAACAATAATTTGATTTTTTTTAAGAATAATGAAAAATTTTTTAAAGAAATGATACTTTAATTATTTCTTAAGAATAATAAAAATAACATCATTATTTTAAAATAATGATGTATTATTTTAAAAGAATAATAAAAAATGATTATTCTTTTAAAATAATAATGTATCATTTTGAAAAAAATGATATAAAAAAATATTGTTCTTTTAAAATGATAATTATATCATTTCAAATGTATGATAAAAAATATTATTTCATCAGAATGATGATGAATTGTTTCTTAAGAATGATGAAAAAATCATTTTTTAGAATGATGATATATTATTCCAAAAAAAAGATAAAAAATATTATTCTTTCAGAATATTAATATATTATTTCTTAAAAAAAAATATTTTTCCAAAAGAACAATAAAAAAATCATTTCTAAAGAAATAATTTCTATCTTTATTTAGAAATAATTGTATTATTCCTTTAGAAATAATTTCTATTATCTCTTTAAAAATGTTTGTATCATTCTTTTAGCGATAATTTTTATCATCTTTTTGAAAATAATTGTATCATTTCTTTAGATACAATTTAATCATCTTTTTGAAAATAATTATTCATTTCTTTAGAAATGATTTCTATCATTTCTTTAAAATAATTGTATCATTTCTTTAGGCATGACAGTTATTTTTATAAATAAAGTAAAGAAAAGTGTATTTCTATAATCTCATTGAAAATAATTGTATTGTTTCTTTAAGAACAATTTCTATCATTTCTTTGTAGTTAAATGTATTATTCCTTTAGAGACAATTTCTATCATTTTATTATATCGTTCCTTTTAAGATGATTATTCTCATTTGATTAAAATGTTATAATTTTTGCAAAAATTGGCTTAACTAATTTTGATTATTGAGATACAGTGGATTTGTTGTCAAATTTTGAGTCTAATTAAAGTTTTGCTAAATATTATTACTGGAATATCTTAGTATTAGAATAATGCTAAATTATGTATAATATAACAAATTACTATTAGTTTTTGTAATTTGAGTTAAATTTTTGCTAAATTATATAACTTAATTAGCTAAATATTAACAAAAGGTCTTAATATTAAAATTATACTAAATTATTGGTGTAATAAATAACTATCAATTTTTATAATTTAAGCTGAATTTTTGTTAAATTACATGACAATTAACTGAATGTTTGATAAAAGATTAATGCTAAAATAATATTAAATTATATGTAGTTTAATAAATAACTATTAATTTTTATAATTTAAGCTGAATTTTTACTAAATCATATGACTGAATTAGCTAAATATTTACTGATAGTATTAGTGCTGAAAGTAATGATTTTGACTAGTATAATAATACATTTTGTATTTTTAATTAATATTGTTTTTTATTATTTAATAAAATAGCTTTTATAATAAATGAAATCATCACAATTATATATTACTAATAATATTATTATTATTAATATATATATAAAATACTGATTAAGGTTAATTAATAACAAATATATAATACTAACCATGTGATGTAATTATTTTTTCTTGATCATAAAATGGTGATTCTTTCATAATATTTTATACTAATATTCAATTTTATTTCAGAATTAATACTGGATCAAAGTATATATATTTCATTAATAATAGATTATTAAGAATATGCTAAATAATATTATTTATTGAAAGTTAATATGATATTTTTAAATTTTTAGAAGTTAATAGGATTTCCATTATTGAAATAGAAATAGAATTTGATAATATTATAAAAAGAGAAAGCTGTTATCTAAATTTATGAAAACTTCAAATATTTTTTATTATATATAATTAATACAAATTTAGAATCATAAATAATATCAATATAATCTTCAAATCATTTATAGAAATATTATACTTTTATATTCAACAGTAGTAAAATTTTCAAAATATAGAGTAATTCATTATAATTATTTTAAGATAAAATTTGATCTTTATTAATGCTTTATTTATTATATTTTTATATTTATTATTATTATACTTATCATCAATTTCTTCATTATTATCTTTATTATTTATTTTCTCTTCATATTTATTATATATTCACTCTTTCTTTTTATCTTTATTATTAATTTCTTTATCATCTTTATTATTACTAATAATTCTACATTATTTCTTCATCTTCAAATAATTCATTATCATCTTTTTTTAATGATTCTTTTGATAAATTATTATTATTATATTGAAAATGATCTAATTCATCATATTAAAAATCCATATAATTATTCTAAATATTTGTATTTATATCTTTAGGTAAAGTAAATTGTGTATTTTGAATATTAAAATATTTAGAAATTAAATCTTCTTGTATTTATATATTGTGAGTAAATTTTTTATAATATTTTATAGGAAGCCATAGTATGTATATATTAATTTTATATGATTAAACTTTTATAATAGTTAAGAAATAAATATTTATTTTTATTTAACTTTATTAAAAAAAGAAAATGTAATTATTTTTGTTATATTGTACTTCTTATAGTAGGTTCATTTATATATTTTTTTCTCTAGTATTTAATAAAGAAAAGGAATAATTAATTTTTTATTGGTTAATCTTTGCTAATATTTCAAGCAAAACTAGTTTCACCTAATTTGATTTACAAAGTATTTTCAAATTAAGGTTTCAAGTGAAAAAATCAAACAGTATTATGTTAGTATATAAAACAAATTTTATTGATTATATTGACTACATCGGTAATTTGCCTGCAGTTTAATTTCTTAATAAAACATATAAATTAATTTTAGAAATGTTAATATAATATATAAATACAGTTTAATATATTTTTTATATATGAAAATTTTAAAATGATTCAATTTAAAAATCAAGTTTATCATTAAATATATATTTTAAATCCTTTAAGTATTCATATAACAATAAAATTATTTCTTCTGATCTATGTTATAATTAATATTACAAATTTTATGATTAAAGATAAAATTATATAACATAACATATATCGATACTATAAAACTAATTTAAAAAAATATTTTTAATTTTTATATAAGTAAGACAGGTTTTGGGGGACTCGGTTCATAAAATTATAATCCCGAATCTAACCTAGGTAAATAAATAAAATATAAAAAAAAAGTAAAAATTTTTTGGTTGTCCGCGTTCAGAAAAACTTCTCTGCGCCATAAATAAAATCGATCTGAAGCAAGTCAAAATGAAGAATTGAAAATCAAAGTAAATCGAACATATAACGTCAAGGTGTATCGAATTTTACTGTAAATTTACATCTAAATTTATTTATTTAAATTGATTATATTATGAAAAATATTATTTGCATATAAGAAAGGTATGATACAAAAATTGACCAATCAAAGTTCGAGCTGATCGTTTACTAACTAATTTAAACATTACGAAGCGTAAATAAAATTAAGCCTCAACCTTAGAAACAATTAATTCAACATGTGGATCAGGTTTACTAAATTGACCAACCCTTTTCTTAACGTCAAATCCTTCAACGGGTTGAAAAATAAAATTTCTAACTAGTATACCTAATAATACTTTAAATTCACTTAAAGCTATTTTGTTACCTATACAAGATCTAACGCCAGTACCGAAAGGTAAATAATTGTAATTTGTAACGTCTTTAATTAATGAAGGATCTAACCATCTTTTTGGGTCAAAATTATCAGCCGTTGGTCCCCAAATAGAAGGTAATCTCTGAAGCGTCGCAATTGGGATATCAATCGTAGAACCCTGTTAATTAAAGGATTTTTTAAATAATCAATTTAAAAAAGATCTTTCTTAACCTTTTATGAAGGACAATAAAACATTAAAATATTAACATACCTTTGGAATTACATGCTCGCCAATAACCAACTCTTTGATATTAGAACGTTGAATAAACATAGCTATAATTAAACTTAATCGTTAATTAAAGCTACTATGAAATTTGTAATTTGACAAAAAAATTTACCTGCAGGATAGAATCTTAACGTTTCTTTAACAACGCAATTAAGATACTCCAAAGAATTAATTTCGTCATAGGTGGGATTAAATTTTGATTTATCAGGAAAAGCTTTAACCAATTCTGCACGTAACATATCTTGCTCATGTGGAAATTTCGCAAGCGTGTATAAAGCCCAAGCTGTAGCATTACTAGTAGTTTCATGTCCGCTTATTAAAAACGTCATGATCTAAATATCCAAAGAAATATTTGATTAGTTACGGTACAATTTATTTTTTTAAAAAATAAATTATTTTAATAACCTGATATTTCAGTTCTTCATCGGTCATTTTTTCTTCATCAGGTAATGTTTTGTTGACTTTAATTAATGTAGACAATAAATCATTTCCAACCAACTTGTTATTTCTATCATCATGGTATTTTTCGTCAAGTAACTTTCTTGATTCACGATCAATAACTCGACATGTATCATTAAATGTTCTGTTTATACCTATTGGAACTTTTCTAACAGATGGAATATACCCAGATAAAATAGTGATGCAAACGGAGAGTAAAGTTGTTTTTGTGCTTAATAAAGACTCATAAGCTTGTGCTAATTCACTTGGGGATGTTAAAGAATTAAATTCGTGGTTAAAACCTAAAATAAAAATCGTTTAAGTTAGGAATTTTAATGCGATATTGTATATAAAAATAAACTTATTTTCTTACCAACTATGCCAATGACATCTAAAGTAGTTTTGGAAATATAGGGCGTGATATTGACTTTTGCTTCTCCTATGTTTACTTTGTCTTCTATTAGGTTTATTAATGCTAAAGCTACGCGACAAAATGTTGGAACCATATGCTAATTGTGAAAACAAAAAAAAAATTTAATTATTTTTATTTAATTAATTTATTGAATAAATTTACGTACTTTAATGGTACTATGAGTGAAAGCTGGGTTCATCATTTTTTTCTGTTTCTTGTGCATTTCTCCTTCTGTATTAGAAAGACCTAGACCAAGAATAGCTTTCATACTTGCCCTCATAGCTTGAGGTTTAACAAAATCGTATCCATGTTTTAAAGTAATATCTTGGATCAAATTTGCATCTGTTACTACAATATATGGTTCATTTAATATTCCGTGATATTTAAATAAATTCCCGTATTTTTTTACCCATCTAGTGTGTGGTTCACCAGACTAAGAAAAGATAATCAGATGTAGTTACAATAAAATTTAATGTATTTTGATAATAGAGAGATGTTACTTTAAAATGCTAACCAACCTCTTCTACGAAAATTCTTTTTAGATTTCCATAAAGAAGACTTTCAGAAGGCGGACCAGGAATTTTTCTCAAAGGAGAAATATAATATGGATAAATATATACTTTATAAGTAAACCAACTTATAATTGTTAAAGCTAAATAACTAACAAAAGAACATAAATCGAGCATTTTTATTTTTCGTTTTGTTTAAAAATATCGATTATGAACTTAAAAAACTCATCTATTTATAAGGATTTAATTTACGTTTTAAATACAAGTTCCACAATATGCCGCAGTAAATCTGCATTAAAACCGGATTGTTATTATTGTATAAATAATTGTCATTATATCAATGACACAGAGTAGTATAATGGTTTCCTATTGTTCGACTTATGTTAGCAATAATTTCTACCGTTATTTCTTTCAACATTAACTCGATATAGATTTCAACGATTTGCTTTATTTTACGAAATAATAAAAACATTTAATTTGTCGCTTAATAAGGAAATCAAAATAAATGATCATTATATAATTAGCCAAATTTATTTTTTTCTGCATCGCAAGTTTCTATCGGTTATGACGTAATTACCGACGACCTTAAAAGATGTTTCTCTACGAAAAAAAGAACGTCGGCAAAATGTACAGAAAACGTCGAAATTTACTTGAAAACGTACAAAAGACGCAAATTAAGGTCAACTTCAGTATATTTAAAGACGTTTTCTGGAAATTTTTTTTTTTTTATGCGAAGTGATTATTAGAATTCTTGGACACCAAACTCATTGTTATTTTTGAGATTTATACAATGATTTTGACATAAGTTCCCATAAAGTTATTATTTCAAATATAAATTTTTACATTTTCTACTTTATTGGTTTTATAGGCTTAGGAATTTATATAAATTTTTCGAATTATTGAATCTGTGACACGAGCAATTAATCTGCGTTTTTATAATATATGCAGGTATATATTTCCGCAATTGCATATGCTTGTAACTACTTTGAAACCATTAGAATAAAATTGTGAAAGAAAATTTAACAAAGTAGTTTTTTTTTAAGAACCAAAAATGATATTTTTCTATATGATGATCATTATTTCATAATTTTTTTTTATTTTTATTTTTTTGATTTTAAAGACATTTTATTCAAATTATAATCAAAATAAAATTCTTCATTTTATATAAAAACAAACAATTTATGTATTCATTTGATTTGTTCTTTTATTTATAAATAAAAGATTCTTTTAAATCGAACTGCAATAAATGGAGTAAGTCAATAAGTTGGGTGGGGACGAAGTCCTCTACTATTCGTATATCTTATCTTGTATTGCATGACGTGAGAAACATAACGCACGCTATTTAATGTTCAATATTTTTTTTTGATAAACAAAAATTTTCAGCAAAATACTTAACTCATATGACTAAGATTATCTTATCTTTCGTTTATATCTTAGGACTTTTAACATTGAATAAATAAAAAGGGATTGATCATTTATACTAGATTGCTTTGGGCTAAAAGCATTGAATTTCCTTATTTTTTTTTATTTTTTTTTGGAAATTTGCTTTCTTTTCTTTCATTACGTTCATCTTTAAGGTTATTATTTTATACGGTTCTAGACGGCGCTAAACGTTGGAGGTAAAGCATTTTATGAATTACATGATTAAAGCTTTTCAAGAAAGTTTCTTTCTTTCAAATAATAATATTTTGATCTTGATCTTCGCAAATTTAAAATAAATTTTTTTAAAATATTTCTATCTAAGCAAAATGGCACTTGTTGTGCCCCAAAATCGTTAATATCTGAAATGTCATTTCGGATATTCCAAATAGGAATAATAGTGGTCATTGGAAACATTTGGTTTATTATTCACAATTTATTTTATAAATTTTAAATTTTTACTAATACCAGTTATCTATTCCTTTGAGATGTTGGGGTAAGGATGGTATTAAATTTACTAAGGATATTTTGAAATATTTGATACGAATGATTCGCGCAAGAAAAAATCAATAAAATAAAAATAATATAATATAATATAATAACTAGGAAAGAAAAAATTAACTATCACACTGGAAAATCAAATCACAATTGCTGTATCCCGAAGCGAAAATAGAAACCATACTAAAAATAATAAATAGTAACCAAGAAAAAAATTTGATCGCTGCAACCCGAAGAGATCGCATTTAGGTTATTTAGGTTATAAAGAAACATTATAAATATACTATCTAACAAAAATATTTATTATATCTTCAAATGTTACAAAAAAATGCGGCTTGGATAAACCGTGGCATTTATGTAATTGAATATATTAAATTGAATGCTTATGTTTGTATTGGTAAGCATTTTTTTTTTATTCATTAAAATTTTTTAATGACATTTTTTGATCTATTTATTTCATTCTTTTTTTTAAAATTATTTCTTTTTGCTTCCTCTTTCGAGATGGATTGATTTATTCATTTAATAAGTTTTTTGATTTTTACGGGTTGGATGCGGGCCTCAGAAATTCTTTATAAATATAAACATTTATTATTTTACTTTTTAAATTAATTTGAGGGGTGATTTGTCGAATAAAAAGCCGAAATTTAAGAATCGGAATATGCATTATGAAATCGTACAGATTATTTTGAATTCGATATTTGCATGTTATGTTTAGTAGTAAATGCCATTTTTTTAAAAAAATGATTTATTATTCTCAATGTAAAATTCCAAAACAGACGACGCATTATTTCAAAAAGAGAACCCCGATTGATAGTTTATCCAAAAAAAAATTGGACAAGTATATAAATAAGGCGAATTCAGCTTTACTCGCAATATTCAATTTTTCATGCAGGCGGTTGAAGCGAATCAGGAAACATTTTTTTAAAATAAAAAACCGATTCTTGTGATATCTGTAACATCACAAAAAAAAAATGTTAAAAGAGAAATGGTACTTGTTCGCTATTAGTATCTACTAATACCCAGGTTGCACGACGAGGACGTCAATACCATCGCAACCCAAAAATTGAAATCATATCCTGTAAACAAAGAAATAATTTAATTAGAATAGAGGATAAATTCAACCTTATAATAATTAAAGATACTTACTTAAAATAAATGACCGAAAGGATATTCAGTTCAAAGCATGGGCGGAATTTCGGTATATTATAAACAATGTAAAAGAGAAATTTTGTAAGAAAAAGTTTTTTTTTAAAAAAAAAATTAAATTACAAATGTTAAATAGAATACTTTCATGTTAAAAAGAGGGCTCTTTGATTATTGTAGAGACAATTCGATACATTTAAATAATGAAGTACATTGTATCATAACATATCAGGATTTCAAGATAAATTTTGTTAGAAAATATTTTTTTTAAAATAAAATTAAATTACAAATATTAAAAAGAATACTTTCATGATACAAGACCTCATATAGGGACAATTCGACTTCAGCCAAGGTCCTTTACGGGATCGATAAAGCGAATGTTCTTCCAAGAATCATGACCATTTGTAATGGGATCGATAAGAACGGATAGGTTTCCTCCAAGAATCACGCACGGGATCGATTAAATCAGATTCTTCTTCGAAGGATTACGACTGGATCAATAAAAACGACTTTTTTCTTCAAAGATCACGACGGGAACGATAAAACCGACTTTTTCTTCCAAAATTCACGACCATTTGCAACGGGATCGATAAACCGGATATCTTCTTCAAAGGATCACGGCGGGATCGATAACAGCGAATTTTCTTCCAAGAATCACGACCATTTGCAATGGGATCGATAAGAACGGATAGTTTTCCTCCAAGAATCATGACCACTTGCAACGGGATCGAAAAGAATGGATGATTATCTTCAAAGGATCACGACCATTTAATGGGATCGATAAGAACGGATAGTTTCCTTCGAAGGATCATGACCATTTCGTGGGATCGATAGGAATGCGAAGGATCACGACGGAATCGATAAAAACGAATTTTTTCTTTAAGAATTACAACCATTTTACAACGGGATCGATAAGAATGGATACTTTTTCATCCAAGAATCACCACTTGATGGGATCGATAAAGTCGGTTACCTTCTTCGAAAGATCACGACCAGAATAAAAACAAATAATCTTATTTAAAGGTCACAAATCTTGACGAGAGAAGAGAATTGAACTATTTCAAGTATCACAACAACTCACAACGGGACCAAACTTTTACGATGGATCACAACTACTTGAAAAACCGATAAAAAACGTATTAAGGACCACGACCACTTGATACGGGATCGAATCTTCTTCGTAGATTTCTTCCAAGGTCAAGAACAACTCAAGTCCTAATAATGGACAATCTCTATCTTAACCCGCAATAGTTTGAGTAAATTTAAGAAACACAAAAAATAACAGGTATCTAGTTAGCAACTCGTTCTAGATGCAAAAACATCAAAAAAGCTTGATCTGAACTGAAAGATATGCATGCATTACAAAGTTATTTGATTATTCTGAATCTCCATTACCTGCTTTTTTCACTATCAAGGAAATTACCTGCTGCAACGAAGAAAACATTTTTTCTAAAGTCATAAGTTCCTATTTATTTATTTATTACGTCATATTATCAATCACATGACATGTATATAATTATTTATTGTAATACAAGGATAATCACAGTGATGACATCATTAATCATGTGCACTAAACATCTAGCTTATTTAACCAAGATGTTGAACGATGTCATGAGCATTAAGAGGAGGACGTGCGTCAAATGAATATATGATATCATGTAAACCTAAAGAAATTTGTGAATTAATTTGCAAAGCACCTTGTTATAGATTACCATGTAATGAGAAGTGTGATAAAAAAAATTGGAGTGTGGACATATGTGCTGGATATTGTGACGAGTTTGCTCTTCTTATTATTACGTTATTGTTTATTTAGCAATAACGAATATAAGAAACAATATATTTAATAAGATATATCGGAATATGAAAGGATTTTTATCTTTCTTCATGTTATACAAGGGAATGAACTAGGTTCATTGAAAGAGAGTAGAGTTATTTTCTTTCTTTTTTAGTTTTGAGGTTGGATAAAGCTTTAATGTATTATTATAATTTAATTTATAATTTATTTTTCTTTGTTTATATTTCTTTCTTTAGACGATTTTAAAGGCGATATCAATGTGTTCAGTAAATCCTTTTTCATTATTTTTTTTTGTTCTTAAATTATATCTTTTTACTTAGGCATAAAAGTCTGTGAATACTCTTGAATCTTCAAATGACAACGTAAGTAATTTCATAAAATTATAGAATATTAATTTTGAGGACTGTTAAATATTCAAAAGTAATAGATGAAGTCTCTCAACATAGATAGGAAACAGGCCAACCAAATGTTGTGCATTTGAAAGTAAATTCGGACAGGTTCTAACATAAAAAAAGCCGTGTTCTGTGGCAATAAAGTCAGAGAGATTCCCAAAACGGGTGCTTCTACTAAGTTACGCGGAGATGAATAGTTTAGCTACTAGGTGGAAAAGTATTAAGCAGCGAATTCACGTTTTATAATTTACTTTCTTTTAATATAATATTCTGCAAAAATGGCAACTGATTCTAATGCTTTGTAAAAAAAAAATTAAAATATTAAACACTAATTTTTTTATTTTATTTTATGTTATTCTAAATCTTTAACTACAAATAAGCGAGTAACTATGACTTCAAAGATCCACAATTTGTCAAAACGCAAAGATCTCGCATTCTTGATAAAGTATACCGAAAACTCGAGTTTTATTATTTACATTTGATTTATTTGATTTACATGCTATGCTATTTTCGTTATATCGCAATTACATAAAATAAATTTAAACTAATTACCACTTTACATTAAAGTAACTTAATTTATGAACCGAAATAGAACCGATAGAACCTAGTTATAAATATAAATTCAAGACGTTTTTTTCTTTTAATTTAAGGCATAATTTAAACTGTGCTTTCGTTGAGTTGTTGAAATTCATATATGTATACTAGTTTTCATTAGACTAGCTTATATTAACACACTTTTTTTTTTTAGTTAAAATTTCATATAAATGTAAATAAATAATTTGATCTAATAAAAGATAAAAATTAATTACATAATAAATTTCAAAGTGTAACAAATCCATTATCCTTTAATGTTTAAAAGTCGGAAAATGTTTTCCAAAATAGATGTTATACGAATATGCGAGAAAAGATGTGTTCCGAAAGGTCGGGATCATGATAAACTCGAACCCGACACAAGTGTGCTAACTTGTAATAAAGAGCACAAATCTAGGATTTTATCCCTAAAACGGGGTCCAAGTTAAGAATGCACTTAATTTATTTTATAAATAACTTATTTTATCGTACTTCACAATCATTCACTTCAATGTCGTACAAGACTAAAGTTTTTAAATTGTATAGTGGATAAAAGCTTTAATAAACGTTTAATCTTTTTTTCACAGTTATTATAAATTCATTAATAAAATATTTGACAATTTTAAACTGAATCTAATGAAGCATCAAAAAAAATTTATGTGACATTTTTGCGTTATAATTCGCAAATGTAAGTTTAACATGATTATATTGAATGAGTAATTCCTCGTACAAAAATACAAATTTTAACAACGGTAAAAAACTTAGTAAATTATAAAGACTTTTCTGTGTAAAAATTCTTCATTTTCTTTACGATCTTTTAAATTGTTGCGGCTGTATCTGTTCCAATCTAATAATCTCATACATTCGTATCAGTTATCATTTCGTTGTATACGTTGGAAACTATATCTATTTGTGGTAAAAATGCACAAAAAAAACAATGAATATGATTTTTTATCTCCTCTAGAATTAATAATAATTAATATAAATCGTTAACCAATTATATTTTCATTATTAAAAAATTACAAAAATTATCTTTACCAGGCATCTAAATTAACTGCACATTCCACACCGCATTTATTTTGTAAAAAAAGTTTTAGAATATAGGTCCAGTTGTCTTCTTATGAGCCCAGACATTGTAAAAAATCTAAGTAGGAAGGATAGAACATTTCTAGTAAAAATATTTATTTAATTCACACCTTTTCTTTTTAAATCTTATTATGAAATGTGGTTTAATTTTTAAAACTATAAAAATGGATCTTTTGTAATAAGTACAAAAAAGAATAATTTTACAAAAAATTGGAATATCTCAAAAAACACATCTAATTTACAATTCGAGGCCGTTATTTTAAAAGATATGCTGTTTGAGAGAACTTTTTGGGGGCGTTATCTACTCTAACACTAAATTTTCAGGCGAATCCATTTTCGATTCCGAAATATTTCGATTTGATGTAATGTAATTTTAATTAAGGATATGTTCAACATTTGATATCCGGTAAATAGGTATTCGAATTCGGATAATGGATTTGGGAAATCGCACTGTTACCATATTTTTTAAATTTTTGATTTTATCGCTGCTGTAATTCAAATTTAAATGTATTTAGATGGTGAACTTGGCCTAATAAATTTATATAAAAAAAATTATAATTTATTGATAATTTTTGATTAATTTATTAAAGATTAATTTCTATCTAATCAATCGTAAATAAAGTTCTGCTTCTGGTACAAGAATCGGTATTGTTACAAAAATTTGAGAAAACACAATCTAAACTAAATCTCAATGACGCGATAGATTTCTTAACAAAAACGTTTGACCAATGTGCAATTGTTTGAATTTTAAATTCTAAATGCAATGAAACATAAGATTTCGATATCTTTATTTATTGATCTATGCTATTCAAAATATTTATCGAAAACAAGAACGAAAAGCTAACGCTTTTAGAAAAAATATTATATCTATACCGATTATTTTTTTCCTCAAATATGATAGCTAAAGAGACGATGTGGGTAGTATTCTATTAAAATTGACGGATCATATGTTTACTATGTCTCGTAACCCACTTTTAATAGATCAGCTCCCATGTGATCTGAGAGCCAGGAAATATTATCAAAATTTTGGTAATGAAGTTTCTGACGATTGTTTTCGTATTTTTCGTATTTTTCGTGATGTCGATCAAACATGAACTAGTCGCAGCAAAGCAATAATTTGTTCGGATGCACTAGCCAAACCCGATCAACAAGTCTTTACAAAAATAGTAAAATTATAATGGATAATGAACCGCAGTAAATATTATTTGTAACAAAATTCTTGCGAGAAATTGGGTTTGAAGCGAAACTAGTTTAGTTTAGAAATTAGTCAGGTGGTTTAGCCGATATCTTTATTAGGGTAAAAAGATAACAATTTAGGTAAATTGGCAACTTATATTTGAAACCATTTAAGGAATATGGATTTATAATTGCCATTATACCTATCATTCGGTTTCAGTTTTCTGGAGGAACGGATATTATTCAAACCATGTGCTTGCATTATTATTAACTTTGAAAGACGAATAGATTCTTTCAAATATTTTTATGCAAATAGCAATAATTTACATCGCTAAAACCGAAGTACTTTTATAAAATTCGCAAATACTGTAAATGGAACAGAAAATAACAATCTTATAATGTAAAGTAAGAATGAATGTGAATGTTCTACCAACACATCTGTTAATAATAGATTAATAAATATATGATCCATGCTGTAAGAATCTAGCTGTCATCTTAGTCATGATGTTTAATTGTTATTATCATTAATCATATGCGCAGTTTTACATTTAGAGCGCATTATAACACTGCGCCACAACATTCGAAAATTAACAAATTTTTTGTTAAGTCCGATAAATATAATATTAAGTAATTCTAATCTTGTATATAACAAGAACATATTAGATCAATAAAGAGGATATAAAAAGAAACACCTTTATGTCCGAAAGAATTAAAGATTTTCAACCTATTATACCCTTACTTTAGGTCATAAAGCTCGAGATCCCGTGTAACGATAAATTATGACAAATAAAGAGCGAGATAAGCACATATTTTCGTACACGTTTCAATGGTTTTCTTAATGTGGATTCACCACTTTTTATTTTTTTTTTATTTTTAGAGAAACAAACTTACGAAAATATAAAAAGCTATAATTACTAAGGTACTTAATTCTGTAATGATGAATTTTTAAATTTTTCATTCTCCTATTTTTTTTTTATATTTTTTAATATTAAAGTTAATATTTTTATACGTTTTTTAACTGCTAGACAATTAAAGAATGTATTTTATCGATTTATCACATGATCGCTGGCCTACGATTATGATCATCATAACCTTGATGTTTTTTATAACATCTTGTGGTGGTGCGCAATACGACACATACTTGACTCATTTTGAGGATCCATCAAACGATTTATTTTATTTTGATAGTTACACAAAAGTAGATGGAACAATTTTGCTCCAATTTGTTCGTTTCAGTAACCCGGAACAAAATTGCATCGAACCCGACATACATTTGAGAATCGTATTTTCCGATGGAACCATCAAACCGTTAAAGCTCGCTCATCAAATTCCTTTATACAACTTTTGTATGATACAAAATGCTTTTTTTAATTTTTTAATAAATGAATATGCGATCCTTGTAACATATTTAAATGGAGAGGATGTAACAACAACAATGCATACAGGAATGATCGTTGACTTTGATGGTAATATTATACAGATTGTAGAGTTCGGTATTGGTGTTGGTAAAATCAATCCTAGCAAGGATGATGAATATGGATTTACATGGTCTCGTCAAGTTAATGAAACTACAATTGTATGGTCAAGATTCGCACCAATGTAAGTTTACATATAATCACAAAATTTTTGTATTCTTTAAATAACCATTTTACCGTAATAATGTAACTTCTTTTTAATTTAGGCCGACAAACCCTAAATATTTTTTTAAATCAGGTTCAGGTTTTATAACATCACCTAATGCATCAATAATTAAATCATTTAAGGTGTTTAACTCGGGTGATGGTGGCGTTTATTTTGTCCTTGTGAACAAGCTCAATCAAATAACCACAATAGATCCGGCCTGGAATGTTCACGCGATTCTTATAGATAAAAGTTCCCTTGTAATTAGCTCTCCATATTTGCTTTATCAATCTCAAATGGATTTTTTTGATTTAAATTTTATTGGTTGCCATAATTCAAATGGTGAAGGATATAATTGTTTAATGCGTGTTAAAACGATCGATCCAGAAAAAATGGGGAATGGGGACAGCGTGTATTTTCTATTAACATTCTTAACTAGTGGTTCTGTAATTAACATTAAAAAGTTAGATATTGGAAAGAATCCTAAAAGAAATATTGTAGATGTTATGATTTTACTTAATCATGGGTTTCTATTTAGATGTTTTTCGATAAAAGATAATAAATTGATGGGTTTCTTATTAACGCAAAATGGTGAATATGATGGCGAATGGAAGGGACTTAACAATGATGTAATTTCTATGTCATACCTTTTACATAATGATACGATGTGGGGAATGCGGTTCCAACATAGCGGTGCCTCATGGGCGATAATAACCGATAAGGTGCACAATAAAAATATCGTGGATAGTAAGTTATTTATTAATGTTTTAAATAGTTCAAATTTTATTTCTGCTTTATTTAATTATTTAACCTGATGTTTTGTTTATAGACTATAAACACGAAAATCCAAATATTCTTGGAACAACACCTAATGATGACATTATTAGATTAAAAGAATTTACTACAATTACCATAGATTACGATAAACCTTTGATTCTTTCATCAGGAAACATCTCAATTTATCAAGTGGTTGATAATATGGGTGAACTACTGCGTCAAACCTATTCCGGTTTATCTGGCCATGCTTCAATTACAAATAATACAAGCGTAAACATAGAAGTGTTGAGTAGTACTTTTAATGATCCATCGGCGAGTTATTTTGTAAGTATTAGCGACGATTTTGTTAATTCAAAACAATTCAATGAAGCAATACCTGGAATTAGAAAGAGAGTTTGGTTTTTGAATACATCTATCGAAGAACCTGATTTATGTCTATGTAAGTTATAAAATTAATATATAAAGTTAATCTAATTGATATATTTAATCTAATTACTATTTTTTTTTTTATTATGATTAGCGCCAGTTACGTTATTATTGAGACTTAATGCCAATGGGACAATATATTTTAAAACGCTTAATTCAGTAGAAATTAACAAATTTTATAATGATTTAATGGATGAGTTATCTAATATCATTCCCGTTGAAAGATCTAGATTGCCAGAATTTGGAAAATTTCAAAATGACCCATTTGATTCTAATAATTTAATACTTATGCAAGTGAAAATTTCACAACCAACTGAAACATTAAAACCTTGTGCTGAAGAAATAGCAAATGATATGGACGCTTTGATCAAAAATAAGCATTTTACCCTTATATCACATTATCCCCTATCTAGCATGTTGGATGAAATATATGGTGCCAATAAGACAGGTAAGTTATCGATCATATAAGACTAAGAAATCTTTTTAATTTCTTGAATTGATTCATATTTATATTTCATTTTATTAGCTGAGGGATGGAGTGATGAATTCAAATTGAATCTGCTATTAGCCTTAGGCGGAGTTATGTTTGTTGTCGTTATATATTTTATAGCAAGATACAAAAATTCACAGGTATTAAATCAACAATTTTTTTTTTTTTATATCGTTAATTATTTTTTTTTATTAACCGTTCATAACTTTTCTTAGGGACGAAATGTTTTTGTCTTCACATTTGCATTAATCGCTACAGATTTTATTTTGGATATAGCGTTTATCGTATATAATTCGCAGATGGTATCTTCATTGTTTATGCCAAGGTAAATTAAGTTCAAATATTATTTTTCATTGTGGTTTGTTGAAAATCTTTCAAAGTATTTAAATTAAGTTTATTTTTTGTGCTTAGTATTTTATTTTTAGTTATACCAACAGTATTCAACTTGATATTCACTTTATACATTCTTTTAAAAGAACATTTTACAAATGAACAATTTCGCGTTTGGTTGGTTTCTAATACAAAAGTAGTACCAATATTGACAATTTTGGCTTCGGCTGATATAGCAATGTTGAACATCATCAATTCGAATTTAGCAGGGTTATCTTGTTTTCAAGTGCCCATTTCAAAAGATGCCGAAATTCAAATCTTTTGGGGAAGATTTGCTAATATATTTATTGAGGACATACCGCAGTTTGTAATTAGAGTAAGTTTATATTATGAATTTTTTTTTAGCTTTTTTACATACCACATGTATAATTTCAATACTTATGAATTTGTGAATGTGTATTAGGTCATCTATTTAAAACGTAATAGTATTGTATATGATCCAATTCCGATATTTTCTTTAATATCTGTTGGTTTGTCAATATTATTTAGTCTTATTGGAAGAGGTTTTGATACATTGATTTATAAGATTCTATACACATCAACTAGTCAAGAGCCCACAGTTGACGATAAAGGTCACATTAACGATTCAAATAATGGAAATACTAGTTGAAATCTTTTAAAAAAAAATAAAATAAAATAAAAGAATGTGTAATCAAATTTTTTATTTCTCAATCATTTGCTCGCTTTTAGAGAGAAAGATTACGCGTTTATCAATTAGCTATTCATATTTTTCCAAGACATCATCATAAATATAGCACGTATTTAAAGGAATAATTTTAGTAATAGCAACTTTTGTTGCATTTCGTATATATATATATGCATTTTTTGTATAATAGAAGTTTGTACACAGTTTCATATTTTTCCTAAATCATAATAGAATACTTTATTAATACATTTCGCAATATAAAAAGTAAATAAATATTATTATAATTTATTATAATTTAACCTATAAATTCTAAGGAATTAAAGAATTGATCATTATCACTTACATGAATGAATATAAATAATATGTATTTTTCCATTTAATAACCTTAATACACAAATATTTAAATTAATCGTTAAACAAGTTTTTAATTCGTATCAAAATCCTAATGCTTACAGTATGCATAATATTAATTATTCAAATATAAAAGTTTAAATTCACTTCGTTGGGATTGGACGACAAAAATCCAATGAATTGAAACGGAACGGTAAGCTTGGAACGATATGCCGTTCACTTATTGCGCAAATCAATTTTCATAATCAATTGTCTAATAATGAAATAATAATGTATTTGATGATAAATTTTAGACTATTACAGTATAAATTAGACTCCTAGACCATTTTATTTAAACCCACCTCCTGATATGGACGCTTTACAATATAAAAGGTTGAAACTACAAAAGAATTAAGATTTTACTTTAATATACTACTGTAAATATAATTAACGTCAACTTAAAAAATTTTTATTAGTTTCCTCCCTTTCTACATCAAAGCGTCAATATTTTTAGGAAGTATATTGACACAAGAATAAAGGATATTTTATAAACAGAATGTAAGAATAGTCTTTATTTTGAAGTACATTTTAAAGTAGGGTTCGGAATAGGAAGTCGTAAAATCGCCAAAGTCGAAAGTCGATTGTAATAACGATTTTGAATCTCAAACTCGACATTAAATCGATTTTCATAATCGCAAAAACGGTTACACAAAATCGATAGAATCTTTTCTACTAGCAACAAGCTAAATGACGAAGTCTTGAAGCTTCAAAATAATGACGAAGTCGAAACAATGGTAAAAATTAATTAGAAATTCTGTATGAAAACTTGATGAAGGATTCATATTTGTGTATCGAATCCTTAAGTGAGCTAAATTCTAATACTTAAAAAATTGAAAAAATTAATACCGTTTTAGCAGTCGATTTTTGCCTATTCGACTTTAGATTTTGTTTTTGAAACGATTCCAATCCCTACTTTAATATACATAAATTTCCGGAAATATCAATTTCGGGCAATGCCAGAGGGTGCTGCTAGCAATGATCTCCTGTAGCTTAAGATAATGATACAGCATATATTGAAATAGCTTGCAGGCGGTCACAATGTACGATCGTGCGTAAATATCATATATCATATTTTATTAAGAAATATTGTATATTATATTTGATTCACGAATAAAGTATAGAGAGTGGAACGGTTATTAACCAGTCCAAAGACGTAATAATGGTTCCTACATTTTAAAATTCGTTTTAAAAAAAGAACATTTATAATGATTCTTCTAAATTAAATAATCCCTTATGTGTTTAGAATAATCATAATTATTAAATCACGTTCAATAGATATATCAAGAGTAAACTATCCTGAGATTCTTTCATCTAGAAGTTTTCATCATAATCCTCCCGTCAATATGTTTCATTAACAACTTCCACCAGGAATACTTCATAATCAACAATCTGTTTTGTGTCACTTAAAATTCTATTTATATATGGATATGCGTATTTATCATCATTACGTTGAATATTATTGCCTAAAATTGAGATGCTACCAAAAGCCGGTCCAAATTCTGTTTTATAATATACAGCATATTTTTGATATGCAATATCACTCGAAACTCTTTCAATATATCCTGAATGATGATCATTGTTCGCGAAAGAAAACAAGAAACTATGTGAGGTTGTGGCCCAACCAATTTGTTCACCCGAATTGTTTACATATCTTGAGCCCCAACGATGTGCCGAACGATCATTATTTACATGATATGAGCACCGACGATATGGCGAACGATCTGTTGGATCTATGCCCCAACCAATTTCATTGTAAAGTTCCCAGCTGAATGGATTATAGCCACCAATTAATTTACCAATTTCCTGTAATTTTGCAATCATAATAGTGGACCTTTGTTATCACATAATTTATGAAATCTTTTTGCTTCAAACCCATCTAAACTAGCACGATAAAGAAGTTTTAATGAATAAGGCATATTCTTGGAATTATAAAAAAATTTATCTTCTTTATTATCAATCCAGCCGGCAATGATGTAAAGTGATTTCTACAAATAAGAGTTGAATTGAAAGATATGTCACGTCTTGGGGTGGAACTAAACTTTTTGACAACGTATATGGATCCAAATGATAAATAATTATACTTTTATATAAATTTCTCGGAAGAAATGATTCGTAAGGGTCAACTTTTCGCAAAAATTTTTCTGAAGGAATCTGATACCATCTAACATGTGGTATAAAGTCACGAATAATTTTTTCTAGTTCTTCAAAGTCATTTAATTTCCAATTAGATACGTAATTATCCAAGGGATAAGACATTTTTGATCTGCCCCATTTAAGAATATAGTCCAAATTTCAATTATTCATAGTTGTCTCTCTAAAATCAAGACAATGGTTTCTAAAAATTGCAACACTAAACAAGTATATAAAAAAGTGGCCATTCTATAAAATAAAATATAGCCAACTTGCAACTTTTTTTTAAAAAAAAAAATACTGTTGTGTGATGCTAAAGTAACCAAATATAATAAATAGAAAGCAATGACAACTAACAGAAACACAATTAGGTTTTTATGATTTTTACAATCAAGGCTAATAAGGCTAATTATTTATTCGATAGATGAAAATAAAAGGCAGTCAGCAAGTATATGAGGCGTAAAAAGCAGAAGGTTCGATTTTAATTTTGTCGGAATGTTGATCTAAATTAAAAAATAATTATCACGATCCATAATATGGGGCCTTTGCAATAGAAAGGGGGGAAACAGCCGAAAAAATCAAAAGTGAGTTAATGCTAAATTTGAACATA